AGAGATTGGAGCGTCTGAACTTGCCTAGCTTATATTACAGACGGGCAAGGGGTGACCTAATTTGGGTGTATTAGCATTTCAAGGGACACTACTCAGTCGAGTGTCCTTACTTGGAGCTGGCGGACGCTCGCCCCACAACAGGTCACAGCTCAAGATTGAAGAAGCGGCAGGTCCAGAAAACTGTGAGGGCAAACTTTTTCGGAGTGAGAGTTGTAAACTCTTGGAACAATCTATCAGAAAGTGTTGTGACGGCACCGAGTGTGAGCTCTTTCAAGACCAGACTTGACCAACACTGGAGCAGGTTCAGGTACATTCAGGAGCCGGTACATGCCCAGTACTTGCCAACAGTGCGTAACAGAGACGTGACCGATCTCCCAAGCAGCTAACGAGCCAATCGGTGGTGAAGAGGATAAAAGTAAAAGTAACACGTTTATCATTGACGAGTACATTGATTTCCAGGTCCTTTTCATCAAACCAGTCCCGGTGCATTCTTTCGATCTGGACGAGGGTCTTTCTGCAGGTTTTCGTCATGACAGTATCGAGAATACCCCATTTGGAACTGGTATTTGGGATGTTTGGTGTCGCGTTGCTTATCAGCCCATGTTCGAGCTGCTCTTTGAAGGCATGTGCTACCGCTGGATCCCCCAGACGCTTAATGTTAAAACCTCTTCTGGAGGCTGTTGCCTTCGCCGTTTTGGGGCGACGTGAAATGAGAGCTTGGCTCTGACGAGCCGATGATCAGTGTCGCATTTGTCTGAGCCACGCATGGTTCGGATGATGAGGACATCTCGGCGATCTCTTTCTCTTACAGTGATGTAGTCAATGAGATTCCAGTGTTTAGATTGTGGGTGTTGCCACGATCCTTTGAAATTGTCGGCCTGCCTAAACAAGGTATTGGTGATAGTGAGGTTGTGTGCAGCACACTTGCTGAGGAGGAGTAGGCCGTTGGGATTACACTTGCCTAGTCCATTTCTCCTTATGATTCCCTGCCAAATATCGGCATTTCTGCCAACTCTGGCATTGAAGTCACCTAGGAGCACAACCTTATCTTCTCTTGGTATAGAGGTTATCCCTCTGTCGGGGTCGGCGTAAAATGTCTCCTTGATGTCATCCTCTGCATCCCTCGCTATATCTCGATTGTGACAACAGTGACAAAGATCTCGTATAGGCAGTGTCGGTAGGATAGGTCCTTAGCTCATCATATAAAATAACACCTAACGCACACGAACCACAATATAGGTACTTCAATACAGTACAATGATATAACAAAAGTTATTGTCATCACTTGTTGTATTACCACGAAGTTACCAGTAGTGCGTAAAAGAGAGCCAGTGGATGCCAGCAGTGCCAACAGTTCCTAACAAAGACGTGGCCGACCTTCCTAGCAACTAACAGGCGGATCAATGGCGAAGAGAATAAAATAAAATAAAGTGAACTAAAGTAAAATCAGAGACGTGGCCGATCGCCCAAGCGGCTAACGAGCCGATCAGTGGTGAAGAGGATAAAAGTAAGAAGTAACAACAATAATTAAAAGATAAACAAGTCAGCCCATGTATATGCTTCGTTTTCTTTTATCGCATCAGAGAAAATGGGTGTAAATAAAGTTTCATGAATGAGATTAAATGCGGGAATTAAATGACTTTCAATGAGTTTAAAGGTGTTACCGTAGTATTAAATGGCTAATAATAACAATAACAATAGCAACAACAATAATAATAATAATAAAAGTCATTTGCGAGGGAAATGTCATAGAAGAAAAATACCTAAGAATTGTTTGAACTATTGATTACAAAGATGAAATACCTTTATTATTATCATGTATAGAACAAATATCTGTAGTTTTTTTCTTGTTGTTATAGGAATTATCCCACCCGGGCATAGGTCACTGAGATGTTCTTATAACCACCATGCTATTGTACTACTCCAGATGATACTAAATGTTACATAATACTTCCTTGAGATAAATGTGTAGTATACTGTATATTAGGTGCCTAAAAAAGAGCTCAGGTTCTCAACTGGCTCAGCCATGTTAATATTGTTATTATTATCCACTCTCTATCTGTGTTTTTCTGGCTAAATAAACTGTTTCAATTCAATAATAATAATAATAATAATAATAATAATAATAATAATAATAATGATAATAATAATAATAATAATAATAATAATGATGATGATGATGATGATGATGATGATACAGAAACACAAAAATGAAAAAAGATCGAGTGAGAAACAATATATGTATGTTGTGTTGCCAATGGTAAGAGAAACAATTGAGACCCTGCAATTGTGTGCAATTGAGGCAGAAAGTCAGATCAGGAACCTGGGACTTGGTCACAATTTTCGTGATGCCATATGGCAGCAGGGTCTACCATTAGACAATACATTATGCTTACAATATCTTCCCAGACGGTAGTACTGTAGTGAATTTCTCCCCTACAAACGCTGTTTGTCGCTGAGTAGCCGACCCCACGAATTCCCCAGTGTATGCCTCGTGGTCTAGGTCAACCAGCGCCGCCCACGGAGCGGGGGTCAACTACTAAGCCACGCCAACAACCCGCTATTTAAGACCTGACCTCGTGGTGATCGCTCTCTTTCTACCTACACCAACCAGCCAGCAACACCTCCTCCTCCTCCGCCTGCCTGGCGGTCCTCGCTCCCGCCGGCGAGCATGGCGACCCACAAGCTGTCCTCCTCTGAGCACCCTCACCAACCAGCTCTCTCTACATCACGTTTGTAACCATGCTGCCTTCCCAGCACCAAGCTGCATTGTACATCCAATACAACATGTATACTGAGAGCACATTGTGAGTTTCCTTTCTCCATCCCATCCTGAGTCCGAACAAACAACCCATACCCCACAAATGGTGACCCCCGGAGATTCGCACTCACACAGGATGGAGGAGAAACTGATCACTCTCCCAGTCTTCAAGCAACATGGAAGACTGGCTTATCCACCCAGAAGCAGCTCTCATCGGCTCTACAGCTACTGTCTCTACACCGCAGGTTAGACACCCTAGAGCAGCTCTGCTACTCTAAGCAGACAGCCGCTCCTCTTCCTGCCCCAAGCACCACGTCCTACCGACCCCAACACACCCGTCCTGCCTCAGACGCCGCCCCTGGCCCAGCAGTACCCCCTGCCGCTCATCCTGACGCGGACCCACACACCCCTCTTTTCTCCCTCAGGTACTCCCTGCTACTGTCCTGCACCCTGCTGCTGTCGTGGACCCAGCTGCTGTCACGAGCCCTCATCCGCTTCTGCTGACGCAGCCCCTGCTCCTGACCCAGGCCCACACACCCCAGCAGGCGCATCTGACGACTCTGTACCTGCCGTGAGGGAAGCACAACATTCATCGCCTCCACAACCCTCTTTCTCCCTCTCTTCTCCCACAGATCTTGTGCATCTAGACAGTTGCCTCCACTAGCGACCGGCTCATCCACGCCATCGCCGTTATGTCTCACATGAGGCATGCACCGCCCGTTCTGCCTCACATGTGCCATGCAACCCTGCAGACAACAAGTCTCCTACACCGCCTGGAGGGAAGGAGGGAGTATTGTAGTGGATTTCTCCCCTACAAACGCTGTTTGTCGCTGAGTAGCCGGCCCCACGAATTCCCCAGTGTATGCCTCGTGGTCTAGGTCAACCAGCGCCGCCCACGGAGCGGGGGTCAACTACTAAGCCACGCCTACCCCCGCTATTTAAGACCTGACCTCGTGGTGATCGCTCTCTTTCTACCTACACCAACCAGCCAGCAACACCTCCTCCTCCTCCGCCTGCCTGGCGGTCCTCGCTCCCGCCGGCGAGCATGGCGACCCACAAGCTGTCCTTCTCTGAGCATCCTCACCAACCAGCTCTCTCTACATCACGCTTGTAACCATGCTGCCTTCCCAGCACCAAGCTGCATTGTACAACCAATACAACATGTGTACAGAGAGCACATCGTGATTTTTGAGTCTTGAACCCAAACAACCCATACCCCACAGTACCTCCCTGTTTGGTAGCTGTCTACTACCTTAGGTATATAAATTTTAATAACAAAAAGTTCACATAATGGAACTTAGTCAAATTTGACAAAATTAATTTAACGTTACAGATTATTAGGAGAAAAATAAGAATAAAAGAATTTCAGTATTATTAGGAAGCCTAGTACTGCATATTAGATTGGTTAGGTTAGATTAAGATATGTTAGGTAGTTAAGGTTAGGTTAGTTTAGCTTAGATTAGGTTTGGTTAGGTTATGTTAGATTAGATTAGGATAAGTTCCATTCCTGTTAAGTAAATAGCATGATTATGGCAGTCACAAGTACAGTTAATCTGCCTTTGTTGGGCGGGTCAGGTAGATAATACGATTAAAACATTCACTATCTACCTATAGTACTGTGGGGTTCAGATTGTTTGGTTCACACTCAGGATGGAGTGGAGAAAGGAAACTCACAATGTGCTCTCTATATACAAGTTGTATTGGATGTACAATGCAGCTTGGTGCTGGGAAAGCAGCATGGTTACAAGCGTGATGTAGAGAGAGCTGGTTGGTGAGGGTGCTCAGAGGAGGACAGCTTGTGGGTCGCCATGCTCGCCGGCGGGAGCGAGGACCGCCAGGCAGCGGCGGAGGAGGAGGTGTTGCTGGCTGGTTGGTGTAGGTAGAAAGAGGGCAGGTCACCACGAGGTCAGGTCTTAAATAGCGGGGGTAGGCGTGGCTTAGTAGTTGACCTCCGCTCCGTGATGTAAGGCGGCGCTGGTTGACCTAGACCACGAGGCATACACTGGGGAATTGGTGGGGTCGACTACTCAGCGTTTGTAGGGGAGAAGTCCACTACAGTACTGCAAACATAGCAACTGTCTGATTTAAACTTGCTCATCTGTCTACCACATTATTGTAGTCAGGGAAGTAATTCGTCTATATTTTTCCAGGTAAGGTTTTCTTACTTAAACTGTTTTTATCTGAATAGTTGTTCTATTATTATTAGATAGAAATAAATGTTTTGGTGTGGTGAAACATAAGGGATTTGTTTTGCTTTTATCCCCTTCGAAACTGATCAGCTTTTGTGCCCAGTTGCTGTAGAAGAACGTGGTCTACTTCTGAAAACACCTTATCCTTTTTTATCACATTGGCTACGTACTATACGGCAAACTTTGCTATTTGACTTTTGCTTTTGTCTAAAGTTGGTGTAAGATTAAGGTAAGTCCAAACCAAGTGAAGGAACATGAGCAGCCGCTGGTGTTTGTCCCGAGCCTTGGCAGGTGTGTGGTCCCTAGCATTGGGATATGGTTACGATCACTGGAGTCAACTTGAAGACGGAGAAAATTAGCACTGCTTGGCGGTAAATACTGTATATTTCGTTATTAATGCAAATAAGGGGTAACAAAAATTGTGTTGTTTTGGGATGTGGCCAAGTTTGTTGACACTAGAAGTACAGTCAATATTTTGGCAGATTCGTTTTAGCCCCCTTCGTTTTTTTTACATGAAAATATATTTTTCTGGTGTATTCTAGTGTGCTTTGTTTAAATCTGACCTTCTTATTCTGTGGAAAATTTCCGTGGTAAATGTTACTTTTAGTCCTATAATCTTCTAGCGACTCAAAAATATGTTTTTCCGGTGTGTTTTGCTATGTTTTGAATGAATTTGGACTTCAAAACTCGCAAATAAAAAAAATTGAGTTAGCCCTCCCCCCATGAGAAAATGTCAGAGACATAGAATTTACCAACCAACAAGAAAACCTACCTAACTACGTATTTTGGACTTGAGATGCAGGTTATGTTACCTTTCATCATTCTTGGATAGTCATTAGTTTGGAGGCAATCTCGAAAGTTGTGTTATTTACTGTAAATACTCATCCAAAAAACTTTGCCGAGTCACCGCATGTCATCTGATTGTTTAAAACCAACCTGCACGGCCCTAGCGTACTCTTACATCCACTAAAAATGCAAAATTACACCATGATGCTTACAAAGTTGCTTTCATTGGTAGCAGATATCAAAACAAGTACTTTCTGTTTAATATGGCAGGGATAAGGTTAGGTACATTAGGTTTCTTTAGTTGGTTAGGTCAGGTTCTATGTAAATATCGCTTCTTTTAAAATGCGTACTATAATGACAAGAACATCTTTCAATTTTAAAATACAATAGTACATAGTAAAGAAAGTACAGTGCAGTAATACAAATATTTATTATAATGTTATCAATGTTTGGATATTGGGGGTGATAGTGTAGTATAACCATAATTGCTGAAGCCCCCTCCAAAAACTGAAAACAGTATTGAACGACTAAAACAGCCTATACATAACGATGGAAACAGTGGGATGTGTACCCATTCTAGTTCAGCATTTGTGCTATCATGAATATATATTCTGTACAGTGCAATATTTTTTTTTTTTTCAGATATATAATTGAAAATGGCTTTACCTGTTAATATCCCGCATGCTGGTGAAACTATAGAATCAGCTCTCAAAAATCAAATAGTTCCTGATCAAGAATTTCTACTTCAGGGTAAGTTTTGTCTCCATTCTTTTAAAGGTTGTTTTCTGTGCAGGTATTCAACAGTTTGGATCTACTATTGTGAATGAGTTCAATTATATTACAGTTTGGTGCGAGTACTTAAGGCTTAGGATATGTGTATGCTAAATGTTGCGATAATATCATTTTAGAATTGCTAACGAAATGCAGATTTTTTTTTGTCAGTGTCAGAAGAGCATGGAAAGATCTGGGAACTTCACTGGTGGTCAGTTCCATTTAGTATTGCAGGTTGGAAGTTTTTTCCTTGTCCAATGCTACGGTTTCAGTATAGATATGGCAAGTGTTTTAAGTGAGTGTTTTCTATCTGGGTGAGTGGTTATATAGAAAACATTAAATTTGACTATTCACCAGTTACCTGTGTTAATTTGATTGTTAATTTCTGCTTTTCATTTGTTTGTGTTGTTGATTTGTTTAGTATATATGCTCTAGTTTACTGTATATGAATACAGTAAGTGTGATAAACGAAAACAGCAATCAGGATTTACCACTGATAAATAAATTCAGTTGCATAGATGTCTAATCACATCACAGTGGATAGAACATAAATGTATAATATAAATCAAGATAAAAAAGAAATGTAGTGTTTTGAGTGACTACTTAAGGCTGACAGCCATTAATTTTGTTTGTCTAAATACCTGTACGGTATCTGTGTTTGATAATTCAGCTGTTCACAGCCATGGTTTTATTAAAATACAACTCCTACATTTAAAATTTTAGATCTTCCTTTGTTTTTTATCATAGTTGGAGTTGTATACTATATTGGTTCTTTAAATAATTTTTTGTTAGTAATGTTTTCTGCTTTTCCAGGTTCAGTGTTAGACACATCACTGCCTGTTGTTATTGATCGTCTCCGTGGACTGTGTGACAATGCAGACATACCTCCAGAAACCTTCCATGATCATGAAGTGGTTTATATTCTTAAAGACTTTAATGGTATGATGAAGTACTCCATAATGTCTTTTAGTTTATTACATTTTTAAGTTCAGTAGTCCTATTTATAATGCTCAATTCCTACCCTTGCAAACATTTGTATACTTGTACTTCATATAATGTATTCATATTCTATTCCTCACATTTGAGTAATATTGGAGTACCTTTCCACAGCAGAAGAGTATTATAAGGAAATAGAATAAGTTAGGACATAAACTTTGCCAAAATAATGCACAAATTTTAGGTGTGTAATTATTGTTTTTGCTGGTAGTCCAAATTTTACTGTACAGTAGTTAGGAATTTTCCTGTCTATGGTTTGTGAACATAGATATTATTTAGTGCCTCTTACAGCTCCAGCAACTCCTGGACCTGCAGGACAAGGTGTCATGTTGCGAGTAAGACGTGCAGTGGATCATCCTGAGCTTCCTTACCAACTTCGATATGTTGGATATCCTGAAATTGGTACAGTGCATATCTTTAAATACATCCAGGAACTCTTTATTTTAATCTGATGTATAACAATATTATATGAATATTAAGACATTAGCATTTAGGTATTTGAATTGCATAAATATTCATTGCTGTTTGTATTTCAGGGAATTACCCAGCTGTGTTACGTAACTGTTTGGATGTTCCTGTCAGTAGCAATGTTTGTGAATTTCTCCAAGAACTAGGAGCAAAGGTAATAATAAAATGACATAGTTTAGAAGAAACAAATTTTGCAAGTACAGGTATACCTTTTAGATTACTCGTTATGGCTGGAAGAGTGAAATGTAAGTTGGTTGATGAAAATGCCTTATAAGGAGCAGCACGGAGTGACTGATCAGTGCAAGGTTGACACAAAATTATTAAGGAAAGTTGTAGGTGAGAAGAGACAAGAAGTTGTTGTATGGGAACTAAAAGAGTAAGAAATCCAAGATTTGTTTTAAATGGCAATAAGAATGAAAAGGGATATACTGTACTTGAAAAAGAGGAAGTACAGGAGAAATAGGGAGAATATTTTAATCAGCTGCTGAGGGTTACAGATGAGGGAGAGACAGAATTTTCTTAGATTGAATAGGTAAAAACAGTAAGTGAAGAAGAGAAGAAACCAGGAGTGGATGGAATCACCATTGAAATTTTAAGAATAGGAGGTGAAATAATGATAGAATGGACAAGAAAAGTACAGGATATGTATATTCATTACAGAAAGTATCTGCAAGATGGGGTCTGATGGATGTCAAAATAAATATTGCGACTCCTGTTGTATCAGTACGGTTGTCAAATTCCTTCGTCCATCGTGTCATGTCATCTAGCAAAACAGATTGCAGATACTTTTTGTAGCATGTGAACAGAGGGAAGGCTACCAAAGCTATGGCAGGAAGCATGTACAGTAGTTCCACTGTATAAAATTAAAGATGAATGTAAGATTTATAGAGGAATAATTGTGGTGACTATACAGGTATTGTCCTAGGTTATATGTAGTGTAAGGTAGAGTTATTGTTGAAATAATCGAAACAAAAGGGGAATATCATCATGGGCTCAGAAATTTTAAGATGATATGTGGATCAAGTGCTTGTGCTAAGAACATGAGTGATATCTTAGGAGAAGAGAAAGAAATTGTTTGTGGGATTTAAGGATCTAGAAAAAGGCTATGATAGCGTAGGTAGAAAAAGAGTGTGGTTAATACAATTTCAGGTACAATACTGAAAATGTATGAGGTAATTGGAATATGTTGATAAGTGTCCAGAGTTTTTTGTAGGAATGTTGAAATGTGTATGAGTTTGTGGGACACCGGTCCCATTGCAAGTAGGACTTTTCAAATAATGTGTAATATTATTATGGATGTTTAAAATGCATGGTAATATGAGTGCTATAAGACTGTAAGTAGTAGTTCAAGAAATAAAAGTCATATGTTTCATATCAGTGTATGTATGAAGAACTACACCTTTTCACATATCCGTTGAGACATTGTTACATTACTATTTGACAAATAACCGAATGACAGAACACATATCGAATGACAATCTAAAATAACTGTTGGTGGTATGTCATTCTCCAATTGTTACATTCTCAAACTATATGTAGACTGTCGGTTTATTGTTCACGTCTGTCAACTTCATAACTTATGTCAATCACTTACGTTAGCATGGACGAACAGTTATTTTAGATTGTCATTTTCGATATATGTTCTGTCATTCGGTTATGAAATTTGTCAAATAGTTATGTAACAATGTCTCAACGGATATGTGAAAAGGTGTATTCTGAAGTATATTACATGAGGATATTACTAAACTTTCTTTCTATCCCCCTCCAGCTTGATCATGAATTTATGGCCAAGGGATACATTATGAAGAAGGGAAGAATAAAAGTAACAATTTTTAAAATGTACAAGGTAATGTATCTCCTAAGTCACTAATGATGATAAGTTACACTCTGAGTTATGTTAAAATTTTATAATGTTCCATGTTTGTCTTAGAAATAAGGTTGAATTATGGTACTCTGTTTAATAACATTATACTGAATAATCTCCCCATTAGCCAGAATAATTAGTGCAGAGAGGCTCTGTATTTGTGAGATTTCCGAGTATTGAGACAAATTTTCTTTTCCGGGTACTGGTGAATGTTTCCATGTCTAAACTATTTACCTTGTACGCAGAACCACTGCTACAGAGGATTAACTGCAGTTGGACAAACACAGAGCTGTATTTATTTATGCATAACACAGTTCATATGCGTAAACAGCAGTGAGTGACCGAACAAGCTTGTACAAAGGTAGCAGACAATGAACCAAGAGTGTCTGATGCTAGAGTTTGAGGAGATACACTGTGAGATACATCAGCCAATCATAGGCATCTCATGCTGTCACATAACAGTAGTAGCCAATCGTAGCTCAGGATCACTCTGAGCCTACCCACCAATGCGCCCTGCACATGTCGGCGCATGATGAAATCTCTCGGAAATTCGTCTGAATGCACTAGAATGGAGAGATTTTTCTCAGGATTTCTCAGAATGATAAAAAATTGTGACAGCACCGAGTGTGAGCTCTTTCAAGACCAGACTTGACAAGCACAGGAGCAGATTCAGATACATTCAGGAGCTAGTGCATGCCCAGTACTTGCCAACAGTGCGTAACAGAGATGTGACCGATCGCCCAAGCGGCTAACAAGCTGATCAGTGGTGAAGAGGATAAAAGTAAAAAAAAAAGGAATAATTGAATCTGGCTGACGGGGAGATAACTGTATACAGGTGTTGACAATTGTTTTGCGATGGGGTTTGGGACTTTGAAAAGCCATTGTAAGGTGATCGATCGTATATTAGTAACTTGTGGGGTAAAATAGGTTCCATTACTGATACCCTGAAGAGCCAGAGTTATAACTGAGTGGTTATTTTTCAACTCGTAATTTCGGGTAGACACGCAATTTTCTTCATTTTTTCAACTATTACATGCACACCATCTTTCATACAGAATGTGCTTAGCTAGTGGGGGAACTGGGTGGGGAATCTTGGCTCGCTGTCTCGTGTCCCTTGCATAGTGACAAAGATGACAAATGGCAACGCAGTGTGTTTTTCTTTTATTTTATTATTATTATTATTTTTGTTCAACTGTTCAGCTTGGCAGTTACCGGTAATGGGCATAGTCTTCCATGCATCCCGCGTGCGTCCCACTTGTTTTGCCATTATGAGATTGTTTCATCATATCTCAGGATATTGGGAGTTATTACACATCACTTTTTCATAGCAGTGACATTACAGGAAAAGCATTTGGATAGCAACCATCATAAAACTGATCTTAGCCATCACATAATGATGAATGGTGTTAATTTTTTAACATGGCAAAACTAATTGATCGTATAACAGTCAACACCTGTATTTTTAGTAAAAACTTCCAACAGAATAGGAAGTGTTATAACAAAACAGCATTCCAAATGGTATAGTACTTGTAATCATGTGATAAATTACCTTGAATACTTTGACTGGTCAAGAAATAGGAATACTTAGTAGAGTTAGGAGAATGAAATTGTTTAGGTATTAATTCTCAAATTAAATTTGTTGGACAATTGCAAAGCTCATATTTTTTGTGTGAACAGCATGTGTTTACTAAGAAAACTACAATTTTATTTTATTTCAGATTGGTGCAGGAATGTCAAAGGATAACCTTGAAGCAATGACAATGTCACATTTAGTGGAACTTAGTGTACTTACCACCAAGACAGATATGACAGTTGCTGAAGACCTCCGTAATCTGGCTGATCAGCTCAAACCTCTTGTTCAGCTAGAGAGATTGGATTATAGGAGATTGGGACCACCATGATAGAATTTCATAAGAAAATTTTTGATGAAAAGGTAAATTTGAAAAGCTTGTCCAAATTATTTCATGGAAGAATTCTTAAATTACCATCAATGTGCAAACCTGTATTTCTTGTATCTGAAAGTTTTATTGATAGACATTGAAGGTTATATAAGTATAAAAGAGCTGCTCCAAGGTAATGAAAGATTCATTAACATTACAATAAACAAATAAAATACCACTATATAGAAATCATTGTTTTATCATTAACCCTTTAGATATAAAAATAGGCTTGTAGGCTTTCTGCATAAAGGTATAAATTCTCCACCTAAGCTTTTACACATGTAACAGACAGACGTATGTAATACAGTACTCCCTCTTTATCGACGGGGGTTACGTTCTGTAGAGGGCCGTCGATACCGTGATGGTTACGTAATTTTTCTAACTATTATTAGCATATGTTGAATAAATGTACCTTTAAGCATTAATGCGTTTCCTTTACACATAACCTTAAATAATAGTGTATAAATAATAATATAATAAGTGGACAAAAATACTAGCAAACTTACGATTTCATTTATTGAAGTGAACATCGGTCCTTACAGTAAACAATACAGTGTACAGTATATACAAGTCTAAATAATCCGTCGATAATCGAAACCGTCGATAAAAAATCCGTCGATAAAGAGGGAGTACTGTATATATTTGGGAGCAACGCAGAAAAAGGTGTTAATGGTAATAAATTAATAATTAAATTCTAAGTAGAATGCTTTAATTATATTTTATGTATATGGAAAGTAAAGATGTCACAGACTGAATCAACATGACCGGTGCCGCATACGATTGTAGGCACATTGCATGGACACTGGGGGAGCACCTTAAGTGTACTCGCAGTAATAGCTTTACTTTAGATTACTTTATCGTCTTTGTCACTGGTTGGCTTGTAAATCATTTGGGCAGTCGATCATGTCTGTTACACACTGTTGGCAAATAATGGGCATACAATGAGCCAGGGACCTCAAAACAAAATACAGTGATATCTTCATTTGCCGGAACAATTGGTGCAGAGCACTTCCGGGAGTGAGAAATTTCCAGGTAACGAGACAACTCTCAAAGCTAGAAAAAAATCCCTCATACTGGAATTTTTCGGTTAATTAAATATGTTCTCGGAAGTTCCAGAAATTGTCCATTACATTATATCTCGAACCTGGAAAAATATCCTCCAGTACCGGAAAATTTTTCTCGAACTTTCCGGAAAATGCGCTTGATTTTCATCTCTCAAACCCGGAAGATAAATGCCCCCATCCCCAGAATTTTCTGGAATTATCCGGGTATCGGGAAAATTTTTGCAGAATTTGCCGGGATATGTGCTACTTGGAAAATCGTTCCAAAGGCCAGAATTTTCCGGAAAATACCAGCTTTGGGAACGATTTCCCGAGAAAATTTTAATTCCAGCTATCAGAGAGTTCTGGGTTTGAGGGATTCCGGTTAACGGAGATACCTGTATTACTTATACAGTTTTATAAAACATCACTTCAGTATTCAATGTTTTATTTACAAAAAAAAGTTTCAAGATGATCTTTCAGCTGTAGAAGTCAGGTACAATATATCATTCACTTAGTAATGTTAAGGGATGGTATTTTACTTTTTACTTCTACCCTCTTCACCACTGATTGGCTCGTTAGCCGCTTGGGCTATCAGTCACGTCTCTGTTACGCACTGTTGGCAAGTACTGGGCATGCACTGACTCCTGAATGTATCTGAACCTGCTCCAGTGCATATCAAGTGTGGTCTTGAAAGCCGTCACAACACTCTCTGGCAGATTGTTCCAAGAGTTCACAACTCTCACTCCGAAAAAGTTACCCCTCACAGTTTTCTGGGCTTGCGACTTTTTCAACCTTGAGCTGTGACCCCTTGTCGGGCGAGCATCTGCCAGCTCCAGGTAAGGGCACTCAACTGAGTAGTGTTCTTTGAGATGTTCTAATCTCTCAGGGTAGCTGAGGTGTAGTGCACACACCAGTCTGGTGGCCCTCTTTTGGACATTTTCAATCAACTGACAGTCCCCAGCATATCTCTGGGACCAGATGGGGTGACAGTACTCCAGACAGGGAAGCACTTCGCTCTTGAAGATCGTTACAAGGGACGGGCCATCTAGATATCTGAACAACCGTCTTAGAAGACCTAATAATTTAGTTGCCTGATTTACCTTCTCGCAAGGGCCCGAGAACTTCAGCTCATTGTCAACATACACACCTAGGTCCTTTTTACATTCAGTCTCAATTAATGCAGTTTCTTCGTCCCGTTAGGACATATGATATGCCTACTTACCGTTGGTATGTCCCAGGTGCAGCCTCTTACACTTCGCGACACTGAATCTAAGCATCCATTTCTTCGACCATTCTTGAAGCTCACAGAGATCCTTCTGCAGCTCTTCACAGTCTGCTTGGTTCTTAATTTCCCGAAATAACTTGGCATCATCCGCAAATTTTTGTATGGAGGAATGTATAGTGTCAGGCATGTTTTTATGAAGCAAACAAACAATCGCGGGCCCAATACATTGCCCTGTGGTACCCCTTTGGTGACGGGTACACATGATGATTTTGTGCCATTAATCATTATTGATAGGTGATTATGTGGGGTTGACAGTGCTAATGTTTTGATGTACAGTACTTCTGATCATAATTGACTACCCGTAGTGGAAATAGCGAAATACAGTACAGACACTGACAATATGAGTGTTGATGATAATGGTGCTGAGTTACGTATTACTTTGGTGAAGGGAGTGCTGGTGGAGTGATAAATGTGATGCTGTGTTGGAATCCATAAACCAATTTGGGAGTGCTAGTGGTGTTGGTGCTACAATAGTTTGATGAAGGAGTGCTAGTGAAGGTGCTATTGTAGTTTAATGAAAGGGATGGTACTAGACTTGGTGAGCTGAAGAGAATATTGGTGTCTCTTGGTGCTAGTTTGGTGAATGGAGTGCTATAATGACAAACAGTAACTGTAATTTAGTGGTAGAATCCTGGTGGCGAGGGAAGGGTTACCACCTGTTGTATCAGTGAAATGTCGATAAAGCAATTACTCTTCTTTGGGACTCCCTTATCTTTGCTCTGGTAGTGCATGAGTGATTGGCTACAGAGAACTAAGGAAGATTTTGGTGTAGTTACACCAGGATGTCGTTGTCACCGTGGCAGTAGATTCGAGGTCCACCTTAATGAAGTTGACAGAGGCACTGTCAGAGGTGGCACAAATCTTTTTTTTTTCTTAATTGTGCTCTAATGTTCAGTTAGTGTCACTTGGATATTGATTGGGTGTTCATCAGGGCACAGTTAATTATTTCACAACCTTTTTCTGATACTTTACCACTGAAATTCCATGCCCAGAACACACACACACACACACACACACACACACACACACACAAAGATCTAGAAACAGTATCGTATTATTTCTGGTTCGCATGACTGTATAATTTATTTCATATGTAAAGTCTTGGTATCCATTTAATCAGAAATTAGTCCTAATGCTTTATTTTTTTTTTACCCCAGGCTGGAGTTCCGGTAATACATGTAGTTATTACACTCCAATCTACAGTTTTATACCTGGAATTGTAAGTATAATGTTTACAAAGTCCTTTTTAATATTTTGTGTTACAGTCTTGATGCCTGCCATTACAGAGTCACTCAATGTTAGTGTTTATAGAATCCCTAAAGGAAGTTACACATACAAAATATTAGTATTTAGTATGTACTCATCATTTTTGCACAAAACTTTATGCTTTTTTTTTATCCTCTTCACCACTCATCAGCTCATTAGCTGCTTGGATGATCCGCCACGTCTCTGTTATGCACTGTTGGCAAGTGCTAGGCATGCACTGGCTCCTGAATGTATCCGAACCTGCTCCAGTGCTTGTCAAGTCTGGTCTTGAAAGAGCTCACACTTGGTGCCATCACAATACTCTCCGTCAAATTATTCCAAGAGTTCACAACTCTTACTCATAATTAGTTACCCTCACAGTTTTCTGGGCTTGCATCTTCTTCAACCTTGAGCTGTGACCCCTTATGGGGCGAGTGTCCGCCAGCTCCACAGGTAAGGGCACTCGACTGAGTAGTGCCCTTTGAGATGTTTATACACCTCAATTAGGTCGCCCCTTGCCCGTTTGTAGTATAAGCTCGGCAATTTCAGGTACTCTATTCTCTCGGGTAGCTGAGTTGCCAAAGTGCAGGCACCAGCCTGATGACCCTCTTTTGGACATTTTCAATTAACCGACTGTCCCTGGCATATCTCAGGGACCAGACGGGGTGACAGTACTCCAGACGGGGATGTACCTCACTCTTGAAGGTCATTGCGAGGGACAGACCATCTAAATATCTTAACAACATTCTTATAAGACCAAATAAATTAGTTGCCTGATTCACCTTCTTCTCACAATGACCCGAGAACTTCAGCTCGTTGTCAACATACACACCTAGGTCCTTTTTACATTCAGTCTCAATTAAAGCAGTTTCTTCATCCCGTTGGGACATATGATACACCTTACCGTTGGTACACCCCAGGTGCAGCCTCTTACACATCGTGACATTGAATCTTAGCAGTCACTTCTTTGATCATTCTTGAAGCTCGGAGAGATCCTTCTGCAGCTCTTCACAGTCTGCTTGGTTCTTAATTTTCCGAAATAACTTGGCATCATCCGCAAACATTTGTATTGATGAATGTACAGCATCAGGCATGTCATTTATGAAGCAAACAAACAACAGCTGGCCCGCTTTTGATGGGTACACATGATGAGTTCGTGCCATAATCACCACACACTGCTTGTGGTCATGGAGAAAGTCTCCAATCCACGCTAGGACATTTCCAGTTTAATTTTCAGCCTTTCATGTGGTACTGTCGAAAGCCTTGGCAAAATCTAGGTATATATTGTCGATATTGCCACCCTGTTCCAGAGTTTGGGTTCAAACATCCACTACCTAAAGTAATTGTGTTAAGCAGGAGTGCCCTGGCATAAAACCGTGTTGGCAATCCTTTACAAGGTTGTTTCGTAGTACAGGTATATGTTCCATCATGGCATCTCTTATAATGCTCTCAAATACTTTACATACTATGCTGGTTGGGCTTACCAGTCTATAGTTATTTGTGGAGTGACGATCGCCCTTCTTGAAGATAGGACTCACATAAGCTTTTTTCAAATCACTAGGGACCTTTCGCTCATCCAGGCATTCACAGAACAGGATCTTCAGGGGCTCAGCAAGCTCGTTGCACAACTCTCTTAGCACTCTGGGATATGCCATGTCAGGGCTGGGACTCTTATGAACCTTTAGTTTTGACAGTTAATTTCTTATAACCTCTTCTGTGAACACAATGTGGGTCAGTGCTTTGTCAAACCGTCTGTCGTTAAAGGACTTTGCAAACACCCTTGTATGATCTGTATATTCAATTTGGTGATTTCAGCGGAAAGTTAAAAAACATGAATGTTTTTGATGTCTGAAAGAAATTATCAGTACGTAGTCATAATGTTTCTTTTTATTGATAAAAATATATGCTTAACATGTTAGGTTATACAGTATAAGTAAATCCTGTTGTAAGGCACAGGAAAACCTCCATAAATATTACATGTAACGATGTCAACAATCACCAGAATTTACTCGTGTTTAAAAAATAATAAGTTGCTAAAACAATATTACTGAAAATTTGGAATGTCGTTTGTCTTCAAAGTAGCGCGAGAGACAACCATCCAGAGGGTGGCGGCATCTGTCGTGGATACAAAATTTATATTAGAATTCCATTACTCATGGCAGTACTGTATATTCAGTACTTAAGATATATTCATATTTGATAAAAAAGTTTCATAGATTTGTGAGATGATTGCATGAACAAAATGTCTATACCTATTGGTTAGCTGCCATGCTTTGCTTGTGGTGAAGGCTGCCTCCAGTTTCGCTCGTGTCTTTTTTTATATTTTCATTATGATTCAACAAAAAAAATCTTTTCTCCATAAGTTTCCCGTAACAAAATAAATAGTATTTTATATCATATGAAATTCTAATGAATATCTTTAACATTAATGAGTTTATGGACATTGACATCTAAATGTGAAATGGTATTTAGAACTGGTGCGCGGCAGAGTGGGACTTGTAACTGCTGCTGAAGGTTCGGGAGGAGCTACCCTCAGAGCCCTCAGCTGACTCTTCCCAGGAACGCCCTACATCGCTGTTGCTGTCCCTTCTTGAGTGACTGTCAGTAGACATTTCCTTGTTAAATGACGAAAGTTCTGGAGAATGTCGTAGCCTGGAGGATACGAATGAGCGAGAACTGCGACCCTCAGAGTGCTCCCTGGAGGAGTCCCGCAGGTTCCGATCCAGTAAACTGCGTCCTCTCTCAGCATCCATCCTTCTTTGGCGTTCAGAGGACGCTTCCTTGTTAAATGCTGACCGTTTAGAGTGTTTACGCAACTTGGGGATGATGATAAGGAGAACACCATCAGAGGACATGACGGCCGTGATGGCCTTCAGGTCGGCGCGTTCTGGAAGTGCGAAGCGTCTTAAGAAGCTGAGTGTAGTTAAGCATGTCCCTTGTTGCCTTTTAGCGCGTCCCTCAACTACTAACTCCTGCCCCTCCACAACCTTTGCCGTTACTTCACCTCCAAGAAAGTCATAGACATCGAGAAGGATCTGAAAAAGTAGATAAATACTTGTATATGGTCTGAAAGTGAGTCACAAAGTTTCTTCACTAGTGTAAAATCTTGGCACCAGTAGTTTTATTGTCATATGAATTTTAACACATTCCTTACCGTCTGAGTGTAAACATCTTCGTCGACGTGAACCGCTTGATTCTCCAATTTTAGATCCCGAAGACGCAGATCACGGTAAGTGGCGATGTCATCATCTGAATCTGAGGAAAGTCCTCCATTGAATTTCTTTAATACATCCCTCACAGCGGACTTGAAGTTCTGGCGAGACTCCAGGAAGAAGGAGTCACCGGAGAAGGGCCCTCTTGTCTTTATTGACAGGAACCTGTTTTTATAGACGGGGTCAACTTCCTCTTCTTGTCTTACACTCCTGCCAGACTCTGTTTCAGAATCATCCTCACCTAAGTCATACTTGGCAGTATGACGCTCCTTCTCAAGTCGTCGGTGGACAGCATCACCCTCAGTTTGTTCTAGGAAGGTGCAGTCTTTCTTCTCAGCTGCCAATTTGTGAGTGTTGTCATCATCAAAGTTAATTCTTTCTTGGTAGCCACTGGTCTTCTGCTGCTCATTATCTAAGCTCTGGTCCCAATCATCAGCGTTTAACTCGCTTGACCTTCTGCTCTGATATTCTTGCGTCACATTGACTTGTACAGGAATTGCTTGTTTTCTTGTTTGGTCCACCTTGTGAGTTAAAAAAAGAAACACCAATGAAGAGATTGGGAGAAATAAAATTCGCCACTAACGAGAACTAAGTAACACAAAGTCTATAAAAAAACAAGATAGGTGTATCACCATATGTGCTGAAGTTTTGAGATGATCATTTGATGAAATATAAACTGGTCTGAGGAGACCTTTACCTACCAAAGACTCATCAACAGCTGATGAGGTCAAGGCTTTGGTTGATGACTCACGAGACTCCTCAATCTTGCTCCTGACTGAGGCAGACTCTTGGTATGTGTGGGCTCCAGCGGTCACCCTCGCCGTCTCCTCGGTGGATTGGTTTTGCAGCTTAGAGGGCTGCAAAACATTGAAAAACTACATTAGAGTATTTTAATAATAGATACTGTTATACTGTAAGTGACATACTGCATTGTACAGTATAATAATTAGTTTTCTATGCTGTTAAAAAAGTAGCATGGTGTAAAAGGCAGCTCACCCTCTTTGGTGCGGTGATAGTTAGCACACCATCTGAAGACATCACGGAAGACACAGAGTCGAGTACAACATTGCCTGGAAGAACGAAATGACGCAGGAATCGTTTGGTAGACCTGGCGCCTTCTTCCTCTTTCTCGATGCATCCTTCCACCACCAGCTCCCTGTCATCCAGAGTCTTGACGGTGATCTCTCCGCCAGTCATGAAGTCGTGCACATCCACAATGAACTGGAGGAATAAAGAAAATGCATAAGACAGACTGCAATGAGGTTTTGCCTGCTCATCTGGCATCATTTTCTTTATAATCAAAAGTGTATTGTAAAACAATTTCTCACCCTGTAGTTAAATTCATCTTCTGAAGACTTGATAGCCTGGTTTTCCTCCCTCAAGTCACGAGATCTTAGTCTCCTGTAGCAGGTCATGTCATCGCTGGTGGAACAGTCGCCCCACTTAATTACAATATCTTTCACAGCATCCTGGTAATCCTTCCACGTATTCTCGAAGAAAGAATCATTGAAGAAGAGTCCTCTTGTCTTGATGGGGATGGGTGTACCCTTGCCGGGCTCGGCAACAGACTGTTTCTCTTCACTTGTCTTGGAGGAGGAAACCAAATTTATTTGTGATGATGTATTTGAGGCATTCTCCATCAGGTCCTTTCGTGTCTCAGCCTCTTTCTCAACCTTCTCATTCACTGAAATCTCTTGGGAAGAGCCTAAAGTAAAATTGTTCGATGTATCTTGAGAAGAAATAAACTGCTCACATGATTCTTGAGATTCTTTCACTTGTGAAGTACTACTATCCTGTACCTCAGTCATGTTGATCTTCACTGGGGCCGTCGTTTCCTCTGTATGTTGAGTAAATTCGTTAATATTCTGCCTAGATTCATTTTGTTTACCTTCTTCCTCTTGTGTATCCTTCAACTTGGCGCTGGAGGAGGTTGCTGAGTTGTCTGACCCGACCTGAGAAGTCGAAGTCGTCTTGTGAGTTTCTGTTACATTGGTCTTCGTTTCAGTGACTTTAATGGGAATCGTCGAACTTTCTTCTTTTGCTTGGGTTACCTGAAGCATAGGATAAAATTTGGAATGTTACTACCATTATCAGAAACTACGGGCTTATAAAAGTGATTCAGATTATAGTATTTAATCACAATATTCTAATCATTAGAGACCATACACTTACTATTCTAGGAGCAGTAATGGTTAGGACACCGTCAGAAGACATTACGGAGGTGATGGCGTCCATGTTGGTGGCGTCTGGCAAGGAGAAGCGACGCCTGAAGGTGTTTGAGACGCCAGTTAGATCTCTTGCCTTGGCGGCGTCCATGCGTCCCTCCACCTGCAGCTCCCTCTCCCCCACCACCTTCACCTTCACCTCCCCGTCCATAAAGTCGCGCACGTCCAATACGATCTGCAAGATTTTTATCACTTTATATGAATACTGAAATTTCAGATATGATCTAAGTTTATACAAAACTCAAAACACCATATGTTGAAGCAAAACGTACTGATTGCTTGATGCACTATTTTAGTGATTCACACTCATCACTAGTACGTAAAACATAGCATGTGTGGATGTCGACAAATAAAGGAATTAACATGGCTGACCTTGTGGCATGTGTTGTCGGAAGTAACGGTCATGGCCTGGTTGTCTTCTTTCAGATCATGGGACCGCAGCTTTCTGTAGCGTCTGAGATTGTTGGACATACGAAGGTCAGTGTCATCCCATGCGTCTTTTAGAAGCTCTTTCTCACCCCACCTCTTCAGCACGTCATTCACTGCATTTTCAAAGTCCAGTCGAGTGTCTTCGAAGAAAGAATCGTCAAAGAAGTGTCCTTTTCGTTTAATTGGAACAGAATCATGCATAGAAAAGGGAATTTTACTGAACTCTTCTGATGTTGTTGATGATGAATTCTTTGACTGTGTTCTCGTCTCTGTGCCTGTCTGCTTCCCTGCTGAGTGCTGGGTGTCTGCAGAGGCACTCGTGCTGCTGCTCATGTGTTCTCTCTGTTCGCTCTCTCTTCTTAGCTTCTTATCTTCTGATGCAGTGTTGTACTCACATTTGGCCTCTGCTTTCGAGTTTATAGAATCACTTTGTGTCTGTGAACTGCTCTGGTTGTTCCCAAGAGTTGAGCTGACGTGGATAGGAACCTTGTGTTCTGACTGTTGTCGGGTCTCGCACTTGTGTTTTTCTTCGTGTGTCTCCGTCATCTTGGAGTTGTTGGCACCTGTAGACTTGTCTGACCCAGCCTGGGAGGTCGAGGTGGACGTCCTATAGTCTGATATATTGGTCTTGGTTCCTGTAACTTTGATTGGTATCGTCGAATCTTCTTTTGTTTGGCTTACCTGTTGAAAAGAAAATGTTATGATCGTTTAATAGGACTACAACCTAAGAATATTGCAAATATATTCTACAAGTCAATTTTGAATAGGTTCAGCCGAGAGTAATTGTCCGTACTTACTACTTTAGGAGCGGTGATGGTGAGGATGCCGTCGGAGGACATAACAGAGGTGATGGCGTCCATGTTGGTGGCGTCTGGCAAGGAGAAGCGACGTCTGAAGGTATTTGAGATGCCAATCAGGTCTCTTGTCTTGGAAGCGTCCATGCGTCCCTCCACCAGCAGCTCCCTCTCCCCCACCACCTTCACCTTCACCTCCCCGTCCATAAAGTCGTGCACGTCCAACATGATCTGCAAGATTTTTATCACCTTTACATAAACACTAGAGTTGGAAGCACATAGCGACACAAAACTACTTCCTGAATTACGTCCATTATGCAGTGAAGAATATTCTACCTCTGCGTTGCTTAACAGTGTAGGTTAAGTAATACTTCTGAATGCTGACACGAGGGGAGAACTAACCTTATGACAGGTGTTATCAGAGGTGACGGTGACGGCCTGGTTGTCTTCCTTCATGTTGCGTGATCGAAGTTTCCTGTAGCGGTTGAGATTGCTTGACCAACCGAAATCTTTGTCGTCCAACGCTTCCTTTAGGAAGTCTGACTCGTCCCATTTGTTGAGCACATCTTTAATGGCTGAGTCAAACTGATTACGCTCCTGGTCGACGGAAGAGTCCTGGAAGAAGCGTCCCTTGCGGTTGATCGGTAAGTAGAAATCCCAGAGGTCATCTGCTGAACTTCTACCTCGAGATGTGTCTTTGCCGGACGTGGAACTGTAAGTCTTGGTTGTGTGTGAACTTTCCTTGTGAACAGATGCCATGTTGACACTCACTTAACTAACACTTAAAAGTAAAGTTTGGTAGTTGTTGAAGATAACTTGTTAAGCACTGAGTGATAATAATTGTGTACTGAGTGGTGAGGGTGTGGCGGCAGGTTTTATACCAGCACCACACCCACTACTGTGACGTTTCACTACGTCAGCTGGGTATTTTGAGAGGTGCGGAGTGGTGCCAGATGAGCAGCTGATTCAGGAAGTTTCTTACGCATTCCCTTAGAGCCGCGTAAAAGTCACTGTGTACGGTTTATTTTTAAGTAATCTAGAATTGTATGGAACAAAGTTTGGCGGTCATCCATTTTTGTCTTGATGCATTGCAGAATATATTAAATAAATTAATGAGATTTTTATATTTCAATGTGATGTTATTGTTCTTTTGTCCTGCATTGCACTTTAAATATAGTATGGTTATGAAAATTATATCTTTTAAATTTAATATCTAACTATAGATTTACAAAATTGCTCTGTTATTCATAGCAACATCAATTATACTAAAAAAAATGTAGATTGCCGCCAAAATTTAATGTTGTTTGTCGTTCTTAAACTTTTGGATGGATGAAAAATACACAAGCCTCGAATGTTAAAGGTGTAAGCAACTGGGAGGTGAAACATAAAAATATGTAGCTGGTGATTCTTCAGTTGAAGCAAACTGAATAACAGAATCAACTTCTGTCGTGTACTATGACATCGTAACAATGGTTGTTACTGCATTTACTAATTGCATAGAAAAGTTTGAGTCTACATCACTACACCGTCTTCAAGTCCTTAATGCTGATTTTGAGAAACAATAGAAAGCTTTGGGGATTCGACTAGACCTCGGTCTGTTGTCTTTTTTACCTTCATTTTTTATTTAAATTGGTTTCTGGGCCTAATATGCATTATTCTCTTGAAACTCTTGAGATGCCTGCTTAACTTTATCAAATGCCGCCTGATTAATGTATAAAAGTTCTTTGGTTCTTGATTTTGGGTATAAAATTCTCCCTCAAATATGTCACTTTACTCTATAATTTTTCAGGAACAGGCCACATCTTATTGTTCAACAGGTTTAGACCAGCCAGTAATATTTGAACCTTGGCCCGCTCTTGCCTCGAACCAAGTAATAATTAAATCTGAAGGCCACTGTCATATGATGACTTGTGCCAACAGGGACAAAATGTTCCAAATTGGCCCCCATGGTTTAGTTGCTTGTTCATCTGTACAATGGGTTGGAATCTTTAACAGGCTGGAATAGAAAATTATCTCTCTGAGTTTGAAAACGATGAGTTCTAAAGGTTGTTTGGTGTAGTTTATTGTTTTAGTCTATCACCATAACTAAAATCCACATGACCAGCAAGTAGTTAGAGTTTCGTGTTGTGTGTTGTATATCAAGGATCTCATATTAGTATGGCTCAATAGGCTACAAATCGGCAATCTGTATTAGCATCTAACAATGAGTGAGTGTTTCTTGCCATCAGTTTAATTTTACACCACGCGACTCCTCAAAAACATCCCCCCCCCCCTCCCTTCACCCCTGCACCCCTTCACCTGACGGGCTCTTAAAGTCCTTTATAAAACAAACACTCGCACCCCTCACACAAGTTGCCTGGGAGAGGTCCATAGGTGAGTCATGGTGATATTAAACTCACAGTGATCTGGAATAATCTTTCTATTTTTAAACAATAGTTTATTTAACGTTAATCACATCGTGCTCGTCGTTCCAAGGACAAAATGTATAAACTGTCACACACGTTGTCTTGTATACGAAATCTTATTTCGTTCCAGATTTCACAGTAACGTCTCACCTGATTTAGATAAAGGAATAACTCGAATATTATACTCACCCAGAGATGCGCCTGATTTCATGTACAGTAATGGCTGTCTAGATATTTTTAAATTTCGATTGTACAAAAACAAAGGGAGAAGTTAATGTGAAGTCTTTTAATGGAAACTGATCCCATTTAGTATAAGAAAACAATTTAATTTGTTTTTAGTTCTCTGGTAATAAGGAGCAGCTGCCTCTGTCATAAACATGTTAATCTCTTAATGTCTGAGTTATTTCAATAACCTATATTTCATCAATCTCTTGCTCATTTATTTTTTTTTATTTACAATTTTGCATCACTTACACTACAGAGGAGCTAATTTGTTTTCTGACAATACTTGATATTAATAATAAACAGCGAATAGTGGAAGAATGTGTATAATATTCTGTGGAGTCACGAGCCTTCCGGTAAAAGTGTGCGCGCTTACTGTACAAAATCTTTGAGTCAGAAATTTAACAGATTCGTCAAGTCTTATTTTTGGTGTAGTTAGCGACGAGTAAGTACATAATTATATGAGTGCTGCTTATTGTGTTCGTTGAAAACTACTGAGTAAACTGTGAAAAATATTAAATTTTCGACAGCATCATGCACGGCCAACTTGGCCAAGTTCCTGATGACTTAACACTTCTGAAACGTTTGTACAAAAACGTTTATCTCGCTCAGCAACGCTAGGGTGATACAAGCAACCGAACGCTCAAGAACGAGGCGATTCTGGCGTATTTTAAAGTAAATATTAATATTGGTCGATAATAGAGTTCACCACCCTAGCTTGGCCATGTTCCCGAAACACCAAGTATGGCCATGACATATTTGGAGTATTCTTAAAAAAAAAGACTTCACAAAACATCAGCGATGAACGATATGTGGTATAATTCATCAGATTCTTACTTTTACAGGAAAGATGTTTTAAATATAGATGTACACGCCACAGAATGCTGTGCCAAACTTTTTATAGATACAAAAAACGTCGCTCTATTTCTTTAATTTGTAGAAAGTCATTAAAGAGCTTTCATCAACACTGTAATACCATTTTTAAGATTAGACCAATTACCTGTACGTTTACTTACAAATACAAACTTCGGTACAATTTCGTTAGCCTATTTATACTTCAGTGCATAACAAAAGAAATAACGTAAGAGGAAGATAGACCTTAATTATAGTAGTGAATAAGAGATGAGGATCTAACCTTGAAATAATGGAGACAACTGAGTGAACGTGTTTATGGAAGGTGGTGGTGGGTGGGCGGGCGGCCTACAACAGCTGGCCGCCCCCCACAGTCCATGAGTCAGGAGATATTCTGAGTGGTAGTGATCATCACCTGGGGGCTGGCACATACCTCACCTGTTACACACTCACTGCTCCTCCCGCCTCCTCATGTACTCACTTTAACACTCTAAAACACTAAAAATAATAAATAGTAAGATAATATCCTGAAGTGGAAATAAGAACTTTATTGATCAAGAAGAAAATGTTGTGTAAAATAATTTCACTTAGCAAACGTCTTTTTAAGAAATAAATACGGATATTATCCTAGTTTGGTGCACAATGTTGCCCTAATATGGCCGCCACTGTTTAAAATGTTCAGTTTGGTTAACTTAAGCACGTGTTGCCAGTCTGTTTACCGCCGCCTGAACTGTTCAACATATTCAACTATTGTCTTCATAGTTTCACTTAGATCTATGGGGATCAATACAACACTGAAATGTATTAATCTCAATCACCTGTGGCGTATGTAAGTCTCTGGAATGGGGTGGGGAGGTGCAGGACTTGAAGATAGGGATACAGTATTATTATATTTCCATCCAGTGGTGTAAGCAGAGGGCCGTCTTTACTGAATAGTATGGCATATTTTATGGTATGGCCAACATTATTATCCTTTATCCCGTTGACATATAATCCAGTGAGGAAAAGCTTAATTTACCCCCAGCCACACTGTAATCTGCACAGTGCAGAAATATTAAGCTGGCGAAAATATCTGTTCTGTTGTAGGCTCCTCCCCCCCCCCCCTTCCCCCCTGACTATGGGCCTGAATTAATTTCTAAGTACTTACGTCCTCACGAACTGATTGCGCTCGGTTGAAGGGGGGGGGGGTGGCAACTACGCCACTCAGTCACTATCGCTTGAATTTAAGGTAATGAATAGTTTGAATAACTTTTTTTTGTACATACACATACAGTACATACCCCCCTCGACGCTATGATAGCTTTGAAGAATTGAAGTTGGTGTGTAGACGTAGAGAAATGTTATTTAGTAAAACCCTGAAGTCCGAAGATAATTCCCTATTGAAAAGCGTCTTCTTAGTGTATCTAACAATATCAATCATGGAAACTGCAAACTGCCAAAGTGATGGATGAATATATCGCAGTACTGTCGCTGTCGTAACTAAATTTCAATAAGTGGCCTTTGATCCTTCACTTAACGCAAGTCCATGATTTAGGATGTACTTCTGCTGGTATATAGGAACTTTTATTACCACCCGTCGCTGCGGTAGTTCGTATTATCAAAGCGAAAGGGACATATCAGCTTTGCCTCTTCAGTAGATTCATATTATTAATCTACATTACATGAAAGGAAAGGTGGCGCTGTACCGTGCCTACGATATGTCAGTAGGAGGAAAATATTGGAATGTGAAGAAGCAAGAAAGACCACCTCTTCGACTACTTCTTTGGCGTTGAAGTAAGAAGGTGGGAATATAGATACATAAATAATTATAGGGCTACACCTATGAGTATTTCTTAAGAGACTCTTTGGGATATGTAATTAGAGTATTAAAGTAATCGTGGTCAGTGTTTGAAGACTTTGCTGTTGCATGTTGACCGGTGGGTTTGTTTCGCCGACTAAACAAAGGTGTGTGAATTATAGCAGTTCTCCCAGGATTTGTATGTCTACAGTGTGTTAAGTATAACCTACATCATATGATAATGACCAACAATTTGTTTGTGTAAGACGCAGTTTTCTATTACCTAGAATTGTTTATTCCTCGTGTTCATCCCACAGTATAATGCATATCATTATCCAGTATACAGTATGTGCCTTGTTTTCCTACATAAAAAATGTAGCGTGAGACTGACAGTACATATTCTGTGATGGAAGTGAGCATTTCACAAGCATTAGTAACGAGTTAGATTACCTGAAGATTTACCCTAGCTTAATTCACCTAGAATACCTAGGGGGCGCAAGGATGGATCCAGGGGGTGTCCTGGTGGTCCGGACCCCCCTTTTCATCAGAAAATTTCAATACCTTTTCTATAATGCAGTATGGTACTCAGACATTTTTGTATAGTTAAAAGGTTTTACCATCAACTTCAGAATATCTCCTAATATCAAGTGCACTTGGCTTCAAGATGCCCATAATATTGGTCAGATTTCAAAAAATATTCTTGGGGGACTTAAAGCGTTCGCCATGTTCCCCCACCCACAACTCCTTGGAATCCCCCTTTAGATATTCCTGAATCCGCATAGGTTGGGTTATTTTGAGCTAGGTTTGGTTAGGGTGGCTTATCTTCTGGTAAAAAATAAACTGTGGGGCAAATCTTCGTGTAATCCAAGTAGAATATATATATATATATATATATATATATATATATATATATATATATATATATATATATATATATATATATATATATATATATATATATATATATATATATATATAATATTCAGAAATTTCAAATGCCCCACCATTAGGGATACTGAGCGTCCAAGGTCGTCTGAGGGAAGAGGGCTCTCCCCGCACATAGTGGGAAGTTGTGGAACTAGGCCTATATGATATTAAATGTAATTTGCCGAATTAATAATGATGCGATTCATGAAGTTAAGGGACTATTATTGAATTTGAAATTATTATAGATCGTTTATCAGTCTGAATAATGTTACGGGTGTCCCAAGGAGTTATTAGTTAGGCGGAAAATATGTCACGTAGGCCTAAGCTAGCGCCTTGGAGAGACGCGACGCTGGCTCTCCCTCAGTCACGGAGAAGCATTCAGACAAACAAGACGTCCATGCACGTCCGTCACAGAAATAGTCACGTGGCCTAGTCACCTGTGTTGCACTATTGCAGTATAACAAGTAAGTCTCATTCGATCTCAGACAGGGTTAGATAGGGCAGTGGTAAAGTTAACAAGAGCTAACAGTGAGTTCATTTCAGGGTTTCCGTCAGAACCCACTTGACCGGAGTTTGACTGCGAGAGTGATGACTGTGAGAGATTGACTGCCGTTTGAGACTGCCGTTGATGATTGAGGGTGGCGATTGTCGCCATTGGACCGATCAGTGTAGGCCTGTCACTGTTTAGCGGGGTATCAAAGGATCTCTTGAGGGAATCTAGCCGCCTGGGTGCCCAGCTGACGACGGGACGATCGTTGGGGGTCATCAGCTCTCCTCTACCTCGGCTCACAACACCACATGTCTCGAGCAGCTTAGTGAAACCCTCTTGCTAACGGGAAGCTAAAGCTTCTCTCATCTGTACAAGGTCTGATTGGCTCACTCCCTTCCGCTTTATGGACGCACTGGGAGTACACTGAGGCTATCTGAGTAAATTAATGGTCACACATTGAGACCATGAGTCTAGGACTCTAGGAGATACCTAAAGGAACATTTTATCTCCCTTATTACGGGTGTATGTTGAGTTGGGTGGAGCATGGTTCACGAGTATGGGTGGACCCAGTAACATATCAATAATAGTGAATATATTTGGGTGTAAATACCATTTCTCAGTTACTGATATTATCTTGACGTGTGTAGTTTAATATTTCCTAAATAATTTTGATAGTATTGTTTTTTGAATGTTTGTGTCATTAAGTGGAACCAGAGTGATACTGTGATTTGATTCTTTTAATGCATCTAATTTTTCTTCATAATTCTGATCTCAGGTATAACCTTTGTTCCCCATAGTAGTGGTTAAGTTAGGTTAGGAAGTGTGCATCTGTTGGGGTGATATAATTTTGTTGAGTGCCCTTAAGGCCTATTCATTGTAGAGTTATTAATTTCTTATTTTTGAATACCATTTTCTCAGTGCTGGATATTATTTTGTTGAAAGCCCTTAAGGCCTGTTTCATGTGTGCAAGCAACATTTCTTACTACTTCAAATTTATTGTTGCCTGAGTTTCTAATAATTTCTATATCATGTATAACTTTTATTCCCCAGAGTAGTGTTTTAAGTTCAAGTTAAGAGGTGCACATATTGGTGTACCATTATTTGATTGTGTTTGTAGTGTTGGAGGGAATATAAGTGTCAAAATTTTACAGTGTGTCTCATTCATCCCAGTCACAGACGCAATCCTTCCACGGGTCACGGACAATTCATTTTGTTTAGTAGATTTAAGTGTTCTTGTGCTGGTTCGGGATTTTTCTCAAAGGGGCGCTTCCACTGTCATTACCATCTATTAATCTTTAATAAACCCCAAGTCAAGTGAGAAAATAAAGTCCAGCATATTCCGACCGGTTGCATATATACAGTGAGTTCTGCTATAACGCGTGCTTTGATAACGCGAATTTGCTCTAACGCGATTTATGAATTAGGAACGATGTTTGTATAACGCGAACGCTTGTTTGCTATAACGCGATTTTTGCTTACTATTTCTCCAATTTTGTGGTACTGTATTAACTGTGAATATAGTAAAGAAGAATTTCAACAAGAAGCGTTCTGGTGATAGAATTCCCGGTGATGATCGTAAAAGAAAGGATATAACACTTGAAGAGAAGCTCGATTTTATCAACCTCAAAATCACCCTTCTCCCCCATCAAGTAAAGTGTTACATTTACTGTATGATTTCTTTATTAGATATGAATGTAACATTTATTTAGACTGTGCTATCCTTTGTGTTAGGCTAACTACAAAATTTTTTCGATTTCGAGTAATCTGCACCTAACCCTATTTTCTCCATAAGCCCTGTTATTTCTATTACGCGATTTTCTATAACACGATATTTTACAAGAACACAATTATCGTGTTATAGCAGAACTACCTGTATATATATATATATATATATATATATATATATATATATATATATATATATATATATATATATATATATATATATATATATATATATATATATATATATATATATATATATATTATATTATATTACTGCAGCCCAAATACCTGTTATTCGTTTGATAAATCATCCCCATAAAAGTTTCAAATAGAGACATATTGGGTAGCTGGCAATACTGAGCGCCAGGAATGTTAGCGATATATCACCATCGGTAATGAACGCGAAAAGTGGCACCCAGTGGCACCGCTGTGAGGTGGTGATGGTGCAGTCCATGGAGGTATAAAAGGCTTTATACCTCCATGGACTGCAGTCCGTGACGGGACTCCGTTGACGGTATAGTCAACAAGATGTTCTTCCCAAGGTAAAGCTAAGATGTTTCTTAATACTTAACACCGCACAGTTCCCCTTATTATATCAGTACAGTATCTTTATCCTTTATCCTTATTGCGACTTGTCATCTTATAAATACAAGCGTGTCAAGCACCTGTATATGCAGATACAAATATAACGTGTTCCGCCTGTATTGTGTATATTTTTACTTAAGTATGAGCATTGACTTCAGTTAATGTGAGCTAACATTACTACATAATAACCGTCAACTGACCCATGTCATTTTCATTAAAAACAATTTATTTTTATGATTAATTATTTGAACTCTCCTTAGGATAGTGAGTATGGCCTCCTCTACCGAATTACACATTTTGTCTTGTCTGTCTGTGTCTAACTCTCCGTGGTAAAATGTCTCACACTTTTCATTGGGTTGAGTTAATATTTGTTATGGTTAGTTTTCATCATCTGGAGGCGCGGATCATCATATTATATTTCCCTCAAGCTACATCAAATTTTGTCTGAGTTACGGTTCTTTGTTAGTTAACTTTTAGCACAAGCAAATTGGTCTTATGTGAGCAACTTATCTTACATGTTTCATTTGAATTAAAAATAAATAAATACTTATGAACCCCAATTTCCTCTCAGCATCACTATCACCACCCCCCCCCCCCTCAGCCCTATAACAAGAGCATGTTACAAAGAAACTGTGAATTTGTATCTGGTTTGTGTGGTATAAAACATGGTAGGTAGGATTTATTTTGTCCCAAATAAAACCTCTGAATCACTATAGCTTTAGTCTGGTAATTCTGCCCATTTCTTCCGTGGTCCTTCCTATGAGATTATAAGCTGGACTCCGGTATATGGGTAGTATTAGTAATAAGCTAAGCTAACCTAATTTAGGTAAAGTTCGATTATTTAAAGGGATAGTGAAAGAAGTCTTAAATGATAGTCAGCTTTACCAAATATTCAGTAATTTCTCTGAAGTTACGTGTACATAACCATAATTTCTGTCACAAAAGTCTGTTGTGTTTTATGGCTTCCTCGAACGACTATCCTTAAAACACTGGATATTTACATTTATGGAGCAACTTCTCAGTTTTTTCAGGAAAGTATGAGCTGTTTGTGTATCTGAGTATGACACGACTTGGATCTTTGCAGGAGGACGTGGAGACACTGGGTGAGGAGGCCACAGACGGGGGTGGTGGTGAGGAAGGTGTGGGAGGTCGTGGTGACGGTAGGAGCCATAGTGCTCCTGATGTACCAGGTGAGCCTTAATCTGTTACTTTACCTGGAGAAGCCAACGGTGTTCATGGTCTCCTTCGAGACCAACCCTGTCTATCGCCTCCCGCCAGTCTCTATCTGCCCACACCCGGCATTCGAACCACGAGCACTGGGTACCATTGGTCTCACGCCCTCAGAGCATTATATACAATACCTGGAAAATTATATGGAACTTCGAGGCGTTCCTGCCAACGTGACTCCAAGGGAGCTGTGGAAAAGGGCTCGCTGGGATTTAAGCCACATCATTGAAGCATTTGCGCTAGACCTGAACGTAGTACACCATTATAATTCAACCGACCCACTAACACCCATGTGGCGCCGCTCTTACTCCCCACTGGGTCCTTGTCTCACCCTTAATTCCCTACCAGGTGTAAGAAAAGTCGGTCTCTACCTTCAGGAATTACCACCTGTGAAGCCTTGTATGATTCCCAATGACAACGGAGAGCTGCAAAGGTACCGAGGGACTGCAGGACAATGTGAGCAAGCCAAAATCTTCTGTAACACTTCATGTGGTCTTGAAGACAGCATATACTTCCAACAGTTCGACGTTGATAAGATGCACATATACTTCCACGAGACTCCCGTATATGCCAAAGAACAAACCACAGAAGAAGACATACTGATATACTCTGACCAGTTGTTTGATGGGAATTATGTGTTGATGGAGATAAGTAAAATCCCGAATTTAAAATCTTACCCACAGATGGTAGAATCTTCCCTGATCAAGGGGCCGTGTAACTCAGACCGCTCGTACACCCACGCTCAGTGTTTCCGTGAGATGCACAAAAACATGGCGTTGCAGGAGTTGGGTTGTTACCCATTCTATCTCTCAACGCCTGAAAATTCTTCAAAGCCTACTTGCCGTTCCCCAGATATCATGGACAAGCTCTTTTATTTAGAATCTTCGAACAGATTTCCCTGTCCACAGAGATGTAAGCAGCAGAGGTGGAGCCATGATATTACACTCTCTTATGATATTGAGTTCTTTCTGCTCATCAGTGCGCTCTCGACAGACATACGAAAAGAGGTTGAGCTAGAAACTTACCCGCTCGCCCAGCTGTTTTGTGATATAGGTGGAAGTCTAGGATTATTCCTCGGTGTATCTATCCTTAGTCTTCTGGAACTCTTTGTAACAACAGCTATGAGTATTTGTAGTTGTAGAGAAGGAATGATGGAAGAAGGTAAGAAACGACATATGACAGTTCTAATTAAGTACACGGTTATTTTGATTCTGTGCATTGCAACTGGTACCCACTACCTGGAGGTGCTGCGTTCTTACCTGACCCAACCAAAATTAACTTCAGTTTCGCTGAGAGTGGCAAAGGGCGGGAACGTGGACGACCTTACCACTCTGGTTGCCCGTCGTCTGGCCACGCGCACCTTAGATTGTCGACCTGAGGAAACCTTCAATGAAGAATGTGTAGTACTATGTTTACTGAGACTGGCAGCAAAAGATGGTGCCAGTGTTACTCCGTTCCTAGACATAGAAGGTTTAACTCCTTGTCAGAATGTTGCATTTCATCTACCGTCTAATGTGTATGTGGTTCCTCCTGAGCAGCTGCTGGCGGCCACGATGAGAGATAAGGTAGACAAGTGTCGGGACTCGTGCACACACCTGCCCCCTACCAACAAGACAATGGGTGATGGTTTTATTATGGTTGTTGATAAGAATCACTATTCATCTGATTTTCTGCAGCTAATGTGTAATATAGGAGGGATTGTTGGCTTTTATTTGGGATTTTCCATCTTCGACTTTTTAGACTTCATTCATTCTGTTGTAGCGGCATCGAACCTTCTTGCGTCAACAGGGTTCACTAAAGAGCGGTCGTCAAAGGTTCTTCAAATACTTAAGTTATGCACTGTCTTCCTCGGCATAATTTTGGCTTTATGGCAACTGAATACCTTCCTCGTATGGCATAAAATATCTTCGTCCATCACCAAGTCTCCGAGGACAAATCGGACTGAACAGCTGGCAATCACAGTGTGTCGGTGGCCACCTGTCAGTCTCCATCATTTGGCCGCCGAGCTGCAGCTTAACATTTCTGAGAGACTTATCCATAAACTCCCCAAAGAGGAGAGGCAGCCGGAATTCTTGAGAATACTGGAAACCTTGCCTGGAAACTGGTCATCTACTCTGGATGTGCTGTGGTCCCGGGCTGCCTGGAATATCACGGACGTAGTGGAGGGCTTCTTTGCTACCAGTAAGGAGAAGAAGTACTTTACAGGGATCTGTAGTGACTCATCCATGTGCCAGAATGTGTGGATGCCTGTCATTACGCCACTCAATCGGTGCTTCTCTCTCAACACTATGTATGAAAATACTGAATTCACCGAGATAACCTTAATTTTCCCTAAGTCACTTGAAAAGCGGACCATTTTTGGAGACAATCCTCAGATTTACGTCACTGTGAACCCAATAGATGAACCACCAATGATGGCTGACATGATACCCAAGAAATCCAAGCAAAGAGTCATTGCCACGCACCATGCAATAAAATACGAGCGTCTGGACGACACGAAACGCAGTGTGGATGACGACAGTCACAGTACCTGTGTCCACAGGTGTCTCTCCGAGGGCGCCTCAGCCCACTTACGCTGCCGTTTACCCTACGTTACATGGCGACCGGACTTGGATCCCTGTAACCAACACCAGTACACCACCGTTCACAAATTCTTTAAAGGCTTAATAGGGATAGGGGTCTGGAACAAAGTAAAAATAAACGAAAATGCATCCCAAGATGTACTTGACCTACACTACAAATGTTACGAGGAGTGTCGTCATCTGCAGCACACTTACTACGCCATCACGACCGAGACGATGGTAGACATTTACCCGACAGTGGTGGTGCGACTCTACCAGGAAGAGGATATACTGCTGAGGGAAGAGGACCGTCACACCATCTCTCAGCTCCTCAGTGACCTGGGTGGCATCGCGGGCATCACGGCAGGATTTTCACTTCTCTTCATCCTGAAGGAACTTGCGCCACGGGCGTTCATAGCCTTGCAACGGCATCCATAAGGCATTTGCTAAGTCCAAGCTAAGTTTTTGAGATCCTTGCTAAGTCCTTCAGACCCTAGCTAACTCCTTCAGACCATAACTAAGTTCTTTAGATCATAGCTAAATACTTCATACCCTAGCTAAGTCCTCCAGATACAAATAATGTGAAGTTCTAAGTGAACATTATGAATTATAAAAAGAAGCTCAGATGAACCTTAAAATGACAAGTGATACCGAACCCCTGAATCCCTGAAGTTACCGAAGTCGTTGATCTAAATAATAAAACTTAATTTGTTTAATAATTTATTGTATGTATATCAATTATGACTATTATTACCCACATACAAGAAACTGCACAGAAATTTAGCTAAATTTCAAAGATGTGTTTTGTAATGCGTGGAAGAGTTTGTAGTGGCTCCTCTCCCCTACAACTCCCAACTGAGCTCCGGCCGCGAGCCTACCAGCCAATCAAGCCATGAACATGAAATGCTAGTGACAGGGGGGAAGGAGGTTCAGGGGAAGAATAAAGGGAGGATTGAAGCGAATTTTAGGAGGAGAGAATAGGTGCAGTGGCTGAACACCGCTCGCGTGAGGGAGTATAAGTTGGAGGCAGCAGCAGCTCGCCCGGACGCTGCCAGGAGGCGACAGGACAGAGTCAGGCTAGCGTCAGGTCAAGCGTCAGGTGCGTGTTGGGTTGGGCCATGGATTCTCAGTGCTTGGTCGGCTAGATTATGTGTGTTGTTTTCTTGTGTGGAGGAAATGTCTTGGTCTTCTCTCTTGGTATTCTTGTTAGCTTGATGTAGATTTTCTTCTAACTCTCCTCCTCTTCTTGCTCTCTTGAAGTGTCCATTCATTCGTGTTTGGGTCTTGTTGTTCGTCTTCCTTGTGTCTTATGTCCTCATAGGTGTGGAAGAAGTTGGAGACAGTAAGGTTGACCACGTGGGCTTCAGCTCCATGGGCCTCGTGGTGTTCTTGATTCTGTGTGGCGGGTGTCTTTTCTTGAGTTTTCTTTTCTTGGGTTTTCTTTTCTTGGTTTTTCTTTTCTGCTGGTTTTTTCTTGTCTTGGGAGCGTACAGCAAGGAGGGCCTCTTTGTAGCTCAGTTTCTTGTCGAGTCGAGCCTTGGCTATCCTACATTCCTCCATCCATTTCGGGCAGGTCCGATCGGCGGAGGAATGTGGGCCACCACAGGCAGCGCGTTTTTTACTGTGTTGGGGCAGACCGTGTAGTGGTGTCCGGGGCTGCCGCACAGGGAGCAGGTGTCCTCCTGCGCCTCACACTTGTTGACAGTGTGTCCGTAGTGCTGGCATTTGTAACAGCGTTTCGGTCTGCAGTAGGGCTCGACTGGTACCGTTACCCACGCCAGTTGAGCCTCCTTGGGTAAGGTTGTATGGTGTCCGATGAGGGCAGTGGTGTCGGACAGCTTCTTCACAACTTGGAGTTGCCCCTTGAGGAGCTCACTCAGCTCTGCTTGGTCCACGTGGGCAATTTCGGCGTGGGAGATTACACCCAGCTTCATGTTGTCCCACATGTAGGCAATCATTTTAAGTGGAATGCAGTTGATGTCTGGGATCTCCGCGAGCTGTGCGGGCATACCCTTCTCGGCGAAGGTGATCTTGATGTCACCATGGAGCTTCAGTTGTTCCACCTTGGTGACCCCCACGATCTCATTAGTTTCAAAGAACTTCTTGAGAACTAGGAGGTTTAGTTTCTTGGGGCAGGTCGGCGTATCCGCGCCACGTTATCAAACTCATAACCGTTCATGGTGAGAGAGGGTTGTTAGACAGCATGAATATGAACATGAACATGAAATGCTAGTGACAGGGGGGAAGGAGGTTCAGGGGAAGAATAAAGGGAGGATTGAAGTGAATTTTAGGTGGAGAGATTAGGTGCAGTGGCTAAACACCGCTTGCGTGAGGGAGTATAAGTTGGAGGCAGCAGCAACTCGCCCGGACGCGGCTAATAAAGTACTTGGGTTCGTACAAAGGAGTGTTACAAGACTAGCGAGGTCATCTTAAGACTATATCTTGCGCTTGTGAGACCTCACGTGGATTACTGTTTTAGTGTCCTGGTGGCCCAGAGGTAGCTTTCCCCGGTCACACTTATAAGATCGTGGGTTCAAATCCTGGTGGGGTGAGGTGTTGATTATATGTAGAAGTCCGCGTGCTTTATTGGACTAATGAAATATACAGTATATGGATCCTCGTGTTTGGAAGCCGGATGTGGTAAAACGTTGCTCTGATCACCTAAGCGGCACGGGTGGTCCCCATTAAAGGTTCACAGCGCCATAAGCTCGTTGAACAGGCTTTGCGTGAAATATAACAGAGTCTAGGACTGCTTTTAGTGTCCTGGTGGCCCAAAGGTAGCGTTCCCCAGTCACACTTATAAGATCGTGGGTTCGAATCCTGGTGGGGTGAGGTGAGGTGAGGTGATGATTATATGTAGAAGTCCGCGTGCTTTATTGGGCTAATGAAATATATATATACGTAATAGAATGTGTGGTGAGGGGTAACGAAAATCCCAGATACAGTAATTATATTAGAGTAGTCCTCATACTCAGTGAATTTCATTGTTCCTGTCATTAGTTTTATAAATTTCTGAATAATAAACACTGCATTATACATCATTCAGAGTGTTATATGAGATCACATTACATTTGAATTTTATCAATTGTAATTTGTATTACTTTATTTCCGCTAAAATATCGCTAGAAAATGTAGGTAAGGTATTTAAATACATCTACAATTTATTTCTGTGTATTCTGTATGGTATTTTGGCCATGAAAAGGCATATTTCCTAAAGTCGGTAATTTACCGAGAGTCGGAGCAGTGACGTCACGGCTTACCGACACGTCATCAAGTTTTGGGGGTTTACCAAGTAGCAGACAAAATACCGGAGTTGAACCAATCTGCGTGTTCTATAAACAAGAGTCGGAAATCCCGACAGCCCTGATACGTACATTAACACAGGTAGTAAATCATCTTGGTTAATAGTACAGTGGTGGTAGACCTTTTGTTAAAGTCAAGGTGTTGTCATTATCTCACGGAAACTCTTTAATCTCTGTTGAAATTGTACGTAAATATTTGATAAGTTTTGCTCAACTCTGACGAGATATTTTGATATTTTATCTTGACTAAAATGGTTGGTACTTTTGATTCATGTTTTAAATATATTCATTCATCACTTACATTTATATGGTACCATTGTCTGGTAAATAATGGTTAGGGTTCATATATGGTACCTAGTGTTATGGGGCAGATGAACTTTAACCTCTCTTAACTGTATATAATATTGTGTTTAATATATTGTTCAGTTAGCATCTTGTACCTTAGTTAGGTAACTCTTCTTGGTTATATATAAATTCATCCTTGGGCAGTCATTTTCTTAAAGTAGTCAATGCTGAAATGTCAAACTCTGGGTTAAAATTTGTTTTTTGATCATGTCAAGCAGAAGACTTGTTTAAATTAGCATATAGTATTTAGATATTTGCTGTTCTTATATACAACTTTTCTTAATAGTACTGGCATGTGTTTATCTAACAATGCTATTTAAAAAATTATTGCTACAAGAATGGTATTAATTTTGTGGCCATGAATATAGAGTTTTATGTAAATACTGTGTACGTTAGTACAGGTCCCTATAATCTCTTGTGACTCTTATTACAGCTGCATTTATTTTCAGTTTGATTCAGTCAATTGTAGTGAATATCAGTGTTCATGCTTCAACAGTTGAATTGTCATTCACCCAGTGTAAGAGTAATATGACGTAAATATGTCTGTCTTTCCTAGACAAGAGATTTGTTGTGATTGTGTTGTTCATGCTTCCCAGTCCCTCCCCTGACGCCGCTCCAATGTTTCTCCAGATCCAATTGTGACTCTTGGATCACTCAACAACTGCCCCAGATGTAGTAGCCACTCAGCAGGGAATAATATATGAAATGATGGCACCGATGCGGCCTGATTAATATGCTCCACTGTCTTGTAGTGCCCGAACCCAGACTCGCCATGTGTCTGGCTACCACCGACCACAACAACGGTCGTGAATCTCAAGTGTTCTACCCTGGGATGCACCCTGGAAGTATATGTCCACAGAGAGTGTTGTAACATGTATGTTCGGGATAATTAGTTGGAAATAATTATCCCATGTTGGGTAGTGGAGCCATGTATCTGCTGGTTTCAGCATTAACGTGCATGTTAAGTAGAAGTACCCACTTGGAGTGGCAGTAAAGCGTCGTTGAAGGAGTGCCCTGTAATATATATTGTGAGTAGGGCCAAGGAACCGGTCCTACTATGCCATGTAATGTAAAATCAGTAAGGTTGGGTGCAGTACGAGTGTAAGATCTGAGTAATTACTGTTGAGTAAAGAAATAAGAAAATAAGTAAAGAAGAAAGTACTGAGTCTGAAATAAGCCCAGGAGTTGAACCTGGTAGTTATAAATTAATAATATATCTTTTTCCCTTTGATTTCATTTTAATAAACTTGTTCTTAGAGTATTGTGGGTGATTTTTGGGTTAAGTGTGATTTGTAATAACCATTTCTCTGTGCAGTGACCAGTGAAGTAAGTAAAAAGAATATATGACGGAACTGAGTAAGAGTAAGAACTAAGACAAGAGAAGTAAGTAAGATAAGGGTGGTGTAGGTGTTGGAAAACACATGCCCTTACAATGATGTGCCCCAAACATAAATATCTTGCTGAATGAGATATACTGTAAGTATTTAACTATTGCTGAATATTTTATTACAACGTTAATATTGTAGAACATGCGTACAGTAATGGCTGGTCTTCAGATACTGTATGTGGATGTCTTAAATTAATATTGTTGTAATTGCCATAATATTCATTATAAGTAAAGAAGCATTAAAATAATAGGTTTTTGTATTTATGGAATTTAATGGGCACAATGAGAAGAAGATTCCATGGCTGGTTTATATTTTGAGTTGAGAGCCAAATGTTAGATTGGTCTGGACGACGCCCGGGGAGGAGCCAAGGTAATATTTATGATAATTTACTGTTTTATGACCTTAATTAATGCTGGAAATGAGTCTAGATAGAATATTATTAAATAACATGATGGCAAGGGTTGAAGGTGACTGCCAATAACTCAGAGACGAGTATTTTATATATAATTTTGGGTCACTATATTACATTGTGTATACAGTAAAGTGGAGTCAGTATTTATTGTCCAGATCACTTTCCTGGTGACTATTTTAGCGTTTGTTTGACCAAAATTCAACATTGTCTTTATTATATATGAAGCTTTAATCCTGTACTGTACTGATCTATATTATACAGTACTGTACTGTATTTCAGTTGTAGCATTAATGAGGGACATCTGTACTGTACTGTGCTGTTCTGTACTGATCCATATTATACTGTACTCTTCTGTACTGTTTTGATCCATATTATACTGTACTCTTCTGTTCTGATCCATATTATACTGTTCTGTTCTGATCCATATTACACTGTTCTGTACTGATCCATATTATACTGTACTGTT